GAATTTTCCCCTTTCCCTCACAGGTCAAGTTCTGTAGCACTAATGTGCCATTCTGGCAAGTTGTCGAGGTTTTCAACAAGCACAAGTACAGGTCTTGTCAAGAGTTAGAGACACACCAGTAACACTATTGTGCTATTTTTAACTCAATCATGTTTTCATTATCATCTGCCAATGGTTTGTTGGTTTCAGACCAGGACAACTTGTTATATGAATAGCTAGATTAACATGATACATGATTTTTGGTCTGTGGGTGGGCTTTGCAGTCTAAAAGACTTTTGGGTCCCCTAGCGCCATCCTTTTAAACTGCAGTTGTTATTGTTGTTGCTCACAAACATGATTTTTGTCACAATGTCAGAATTTGAACTTGGATTCCTACCAATCATTTAGCTTATGATTAACATTAATGAACTTTTCCTACCTAAACTGCTTTCTAAAATCCTACTACAGTTTGTTCTTTCAATCTGAAAAAATCTCCCTACCTCCCCTCCCCTGCTCAAGATTCAGAATGGAACGTCCCTGAATGACAACATTTGTAGAAGGTCCAGCAGGACCTGAGTTGAACTTGTGCTTGTGTGAACTTGGCAGGAGAGTCTGAAGGATGGACCATGATGGGTCCACAGGCTGATGCAAATAAATACAGTCTGTAGAACTTGTCCTGAATGTTTCCGCTCAAACATTGCTTAGAGTTAAGCAAAGGGTTTTAAGTTAGAACAAAATTTGATTTCAGAGCAAGAGAATCTAGATGATTTTTCAATGCATTACATGCATACTTAAAAAGGGCTATTTTTCAACAGCAACAATGTACTGTATTCAAAACATAATTTTTCTATTTATAATGTTTAAAGGTCAAATAGAATATCATCAGTGCACTTCAGAAATGTCTCAAATTTTAAATGCTAGCCATATGTTATTTTTACTCGTGGGTGTGGCTGTTAATTGGATGATGTTGGTTATTAATAATATGCTCATTAATACATCATTTTCCATGTTAAGCATGCACTAAGGGGCATAGGTTATATAATAAAATCCAATTAGATTTGTTAATTTTCAAATAGTTTATTTAGGCCACAGCAAGTAAATCTTATGGATGACATCCCCTGCAGACTCCAAATCTAATGCGAGCGGGCGAAAAAAAACAAGACTCCTACATTTTCAAGTTTATATACTACATCAATTTCGTAACTAGTAAAAGACAAATCATTAAATCAGAGCCTTGTCTTGTCTCTTCTCTTCATAGTTATCTGCCATCCACCTTCCGGCATGGCAACAGACATCTTTGCCCATTTTCGGCATGTTGACCACTTTCAGAAGGCAACAAAATTTCTTTTTTTTCCCCCCAAATCAGGTGAAAATTAATGCACGCGCTGATGTCATCCATAGAAATTACTTGCTGTGGCCTTAGTTATGTAACTTCTTAATTGGTAGCCTCAATAGCAATTATAAGATATACCAGGCTTCCTGAAGCGCACTTTTACGTAAATGCCAGCATTCCGACAGAGTCGAACATGATGTAAACACTGGAGCCACATTCCCGGGAATCCAGGAACATGACATTTCACATGGAGCAAACACAAGCCCACATCTGCCTGTCCACTGTCTGTGTTTAGATTTGGTCCCGCCGAGACAGAAGATTAGAAAAAGAAACTAAAGTAATCATGAAAGTTCATCTGTGTTGGTAGTAATCATAGTAAAATGTTGAACTTTATGAGGGCCTGCAAGCCCTTTTTCATAAGGCGTAATCAGGCCGTTTTAGACCTCGTAATTCGTAGGCAGAAATCAACGAAATTCGTAATTGGACATTAGCCGCAAATCGTAAAGTCGTAATCAACTCTGAGACTTTAACGCAATTCGTAATAGACGGCGAAAATTTTGCGTAATTCGTAATCACTACCCCCCCCCCCTTGCAGGCCCTCCTTTATTTCAACACACAGTTTACAGAGACATCAAATTTTCAGCGACCACTGTCGCCTTCATCAGGATAATTAATGATTTGAAATTTGATCTCACTGTAAACTGTGTGTTGGAATAAAGTTCAACGTTTTACTATAGAAACTAAAGTTTGCCCCCCCCCCTCTTCCCCCAAGGAAAACTAAGTTACTCAAAGATGCAAAGTCTTATGTTAGTTAGCTGGTGATTGACCTAAAAGTATTACAAAATGTACAGTACTAGTCATTTTTCTAATTTCTGATTTGGGGACAAAAATTAATGCCGAGACAGCAACTTAGAAAAAGAAACTAAAGTTGTCAAAATGACATGTTTTTGCCCCCCCCCCTCTTCCCCCATGGACAACTTTACTCAAAGACTCAAAGTCTTATGTTAGTTAGCTGATTGACTTGAAATTATTACAAAATGCTAATTTTTCTCATTTCTGATTTAGGGACAAAAACTATTCTATTTCCACCATACTTTAATTAGACTGCATTTGTACAAACTTTTCATCAAGGACAACTAAACATGTAACTTAGATATACATGTATGTGTAACTTAGTATGTGCCTGCCTTTTTTAAAGATTTTTAACACATAACAAGACGAAAAAAAAAACACTTGGCTTTTCTACTGAGCAATGGAACATTGGTGATGGCTTCAACTCTTGGGATATCTGAAATATTATTGTCAGAACAATTATTATAATAATATCCTGAACAAGCACAAGTTCAATGAAAATGATGTATACAGTGTTTTCAAATTACAGATTTGAGTGTAAATTTGCATGTGGAAATAGAAGCACAATCGATTCTGGGTCAATTTGCAAACTTCATCTTGCTAGCAAAAGGGTGTATTGAAGTCTTTCTAAAACATGGATAAGGTGACCGTCGTATTATGGGATGAAACTTTCGCAATGATGTTTGAAGGTCATTACTGCAGTAATGACCTTCAAACAAACATACTGTGAGTGAAGGTCGTTTGAACTAGAAGTGAAATCTCCACATTTCCTGTTGAAAACAGGAACTGATTTACTCCTCATTCCCTCCACTTTACACACACAGGAAGACGTCAAACCTTAGCCAATTGAAATTCCTTGAAGTTCTACCATGTCTTGGAATGAAGACTTAGCATTCCTAAGACTCCTATGACAGGCCTAGGTAGAGGAGATAGTTCAGACTCATCCCAGTGACAGGTAACATCATTTGTGGCATTTGTCAATTCTGACTTAAGGGCAACAAAACATGCATGTCGTGTCCACTCTTACATTGGTTTAAGTTACTTTGAAACCTATTTTCAAAAACGAGAAATATCTTAATTATATTACACTGGGAATTTTTGTTATACTCAAAAGTAATTACAATCATGTATCCAATTTCAAAAAATGATTTAGTAAATGAAATGGAAAATTGTCTTCTTACAATGACATCAACAAACATAAGGAGCTTTAAATTTAAATTAGTTTTTATAGGTAATAATTAAAGCAAAAATAAAACTTGAATTAGTTTTTATACATAATAATCATAGCAAAAATAAGTTGATCAAAGATTTATCAGTCCAGTCATCTTATGCTACTTTTTCATGTACTGTAGTGTGCTACAAGACAAATAAAAATTGGCAAAGTTACCTGTTTCCAGAATAATGAGATATTTGACATTTGACTTGGTGGCCCACCCCATTAAAAATGACAAATGTAGTTCTTATCAAGAGAACGTGCTTAGATCCTCTGGATAACAGACTTGTCGCTCTAATTGTGTCTTGTTTGAGTTAATTGGTCTGAAAATGTCCTTGTGATTTCATCAGTATTTCCTCAGTTACATTTTTGCCCCTTGCGCAAAACAAAATCTATCACAACACGCGCGTACGTGTCCACACTTGTAGAACTTCAAAAGAGGTGATTTTTAAAAGGCAAGGCATGACAACTGCAACACTATGTCAAGGTCTTTGGATATGTTTTCCATGTCGATTAGTAGAGAAAACACCAAGAATTTCTTTCTTATAAAGAAAGAAACCTTTCAGAGTAGTACATCAAGTGTTCATGCTTTTGGAATGTCGACCTGCTAAAGTAGCTATTTGGCACCAAATAAAATGTATCATGAATTGGTTACTGAGTTAGGCAGCTGGGAAAAGGTTAAAACTAAGGCAATTGCAAGTCTGTGTCATTGAGGTCTTTTGGATAAATTGCTGAACAACTTTAATATTACAGTCAGTAAGAAACCTATCAGTGGTTTCAAATGGCCATACTTCAAAAGATGTGTCATCAAACTGATAGTTGTAAGACTGTGTTAAGTGCTTTTGAATTAGTCTTTCCAAAATCACTTCTTATACTATCATGAAAGTTCATGATCTAAAGGTATCTACCAGATACCTTTGACCCAGTGTTGACAGCACACTTCAAAGAAGCCATGTGACAAGCCTCACTGGGTCAGTCTACTGAGGAAGACCAGAGTGACTGGTTGAAAGCTTTAGGTGAGAGAACTTTTTTTGTGTTGGACCAAAAGTTTTAACTTTAAACAATTTTGAGTTAGGTTTTCCAGAAAACAGTAAGTTGTACATCACATGCAGACTACTAGTAAAATGTAGGAAACAAGTAAAATCTGAGATTTTATACCTCCTGGCTTTTTATTGTATATTTTTTATATAGGGTTTTAAACAAAGAATTAATCAAGACTGGACACCCCTCTGTGTGAGGGGTCATATACGTGGACCATACCGAGAATAGCTTAAACATGCCAAAGGTCAACAGTCGCGAACATTTTTACGCTCAAAGGGGTGTTCTGGGGCCACTAAAAGGCACCATTTTCCTGCCCGAAAACACATATACAATAAAAACAAAAGAACGTGCATAATCTACAACCCAATAGCAAAACATACACCGAGTCCCCAAAAAATCTGTCTACCGAAATGCGAGAAACAGCTGCGAACATGAAAATCTAAATCTCTCACAAAACCCTTCCGCGGAAGGATGTCTCCTCCCCCGGAGGTAATAATAAAGTAATGATCATTGCCTTCCACTGGTATACATTGTGTACACATGGGACAAAGTACTTCCAAAAAGGAGTTAGCGTTTGCTCACCTTGGCGTTCTCGATACATGGACAGATGGCCCATGCAGCGCTGGCCTGGACCTCCGGGTTCTGGTTCTTCAGGAGTGACCACAGCAGTCTCACACCGTCCAGCCGGTCAATGATCCTACCAGAAACACAACAACAGGCCATGGTCAAGATAACATCTTATGGTATAATTCAGTAACTGTTGCTGATACATTGTATTATGCAGGATTATTTGTATTTTTAAAAGGATGTTTCTAAATGATTTGTATTCATTCAGGATAAAGAAGACAAAAAATACATTTGTACACTTGCACACTTAAGAAGTATCTGTGCATGTGAAGAAAAATACTGGTACTGTAATATGTATTTTTGACCAAACTCAATTTTAGTACAATTTTACTGACTTTTGTGCAAAGATGCTTCATTGCATTTTGTAACGTGTTACTTCCTCAAAAAATCATATCTTCAATACTATTTGATATGTACACATCTAAAAAGATAAGGTTATAAAAAGATAATTAAAATTACAGTGTTGACAAAGTTACAGCTTATGAAGTTACTGTGTAAAACACTGAATAGAGATGTACAAAAATAACTGTGTCTACACAGCTGCAATGGATTGTAACAAGACCAAATAATTTTCTCACGTCATATTTTCCGTCTCGGTGGCGCACGCTCCAACAGCCTTGGTCACGTTGACCAGCAGTGATTGGTTGGTCCCCGTCAGGAGGTTGACCAATGGGGGGATGCCGCCGGCCTTACGGATGGACATGCGGTTTTGCGGCTCCTGAGCGCACTCCCCAAGAGCGCCGACCACGTTCACTAGAACCTCTTCTGGCTGGTTTTGAAGGAGGGAGACCAGTTTCTCAATCGCTTTCAACTCCTGGAACCTAAAGAAGTTAAAACAGAAGGCAATGCCTTATTAGCACTGACAATGACAGTGACAATGAAGATCTGTGACCTCACCATACAAAATATTACATTGTCTGTGAAAAAGCTTCAAACAATCATGTTTCTAACCATCTCCAGATTTTCCAGAAAATCTTGAGATTTTTTGACTTCAATTTTTGATGCGTGACAAATCCTACCAGCCATTATGATCCGTACATCTGCAAAAGTTTTCCCAAATCATAAGTTACAACAAAATGTATGTATAAATTTTAGCTGTAAACAGTTATATAAAAGCCTTTGTCCGAAGTGCTTTGTTCTGTCCAAAATTAATCTGGTCATTGTTGACATTGTTACATCAGGGCCCATCACCCTTCACACTAAAACCATCACGGGGGCTGACATCGTCTACCAGATACCTTTGACCCAGTGTTGACGTCACACTTCAAAGAAGCCACGTGACAAGCTTCACTGGGTCAGTCTACTGAGGAAGACCAGCAGAGTGACTGGTCGAAAGCTCTAGCTATAGGTGACAGAATTTCCGTTGAACTTTAAACATTGTCTGAAGAAAAATCATTACTCCAATGAAATCCAGGCCTTACCTTTCCACATTTTCAGGACTGATGGCACATTTCCAGATGGCACCGGTGGCAGCGGCCAGGAGTTCCTTGTTGTCAGACTTGTCCAGGAGGGACACCAGCGGGTCCAGTCCTCCGTACTGTCGCACAAGGTCACGGGTCTCCTTCTCCTCAGCACACTGGTGAGAGACCACAAAACTGCGGTGTGAGCCTTATTTACATTGTGCAATACATGTAATAGTACTTAATGTACTTTAAAAATATATACAATCAAAAGTTTTATCCTACTTAATTCATGTTTTATATATGTGTATGTGTATGAACAACAAAAGTTACCAAAACTGAACAGTGAAAAGTGAGAAACCATCTTTTGTATTTTGTTTTTGTTGCTCAGTTTATAGCTTATTTTTCCTCTCTTTTCAATCTTTCTAGACTACTTCTCACTATTCTTCTCGCTGAGGTTGTTTTGCCTAAAAGTACATGTGCAACCTAAAATACGTTAATCTTTTTTGTTAACACTCAGGTGCCTAGAACATGATTTGAACCCATGACCTAATTTCAAGAAACTGACTCAGAGTTGATAGCCACTACACCACCTATGCTACCTTCTACCATCTACATGTAGTATTGTATGGTAATGAGTTGATGACAAGAGTTAAATGGAGGGAAGTACATTTAACACTCTAATATGAATATGAACAGCAAAAATTACTTCCTGACCAACAATCCGAAGAGAATTGACATTGAAATTAAGTTTGCAGCACACTAATTTTGCAGTACAGTGACAATCAAAGATTTTATAGACTATCATTGAGTTTTCAATTAAAAATCTGTAAGATAATGGAAAAGTGCACTCATAAACTGACTGCATTCATGCCCAGTAGTGTGTTTTTATAAGCCAAATGCTACTGTATGAAAAACTGTTTTGTCTGCCCACACCTAGTAATGAACATGTTACAAAACCACATGGGGGGAAAACTACACAATTTGGTCTGGTGCAAAAGGTCACTGAGCCTGTGTTTATACGCGTCGTTACCCCCTCCCACTAACTACTACAAATGTACATGTGTACGTGACTTTAAAGAATGGCATTCAATGCGATTTCAGGGAAGCAAAACTGGAAATATTCTGAACTAGAGTTCGATGATCTCATACCTCCATGACATGTGTATTGTTTTCATAAATCTTACGCATGGTGATGACCACCTGTAATTGGCTTACATTTTTCACCGCATATATTCAAATCATATGAGGCCATTTGCATATATTGTATCAATTGATCATACTCTCCACCAAATGACAGGGTTATCTTAAGAAATAAGGCTATTCTAGCGTTTCCTCATAAATTATGCAAATGAGGTCCTGATTGACATAAATTATGTTTAGTGATGTTCACCTTCACTGAACTTCCAATTATGGCAAGTATTAAATTCCCAGCAGTTACCACCATAAAATTGTACCAATTTGCCATTTATTATGCAAATTAGGTCTTCCTTTACATAATCGATATCTGCCAATGATCTTGTCGTTCTCACTAACATATGTCTATATAGTTTTATAGCCCTAATATGAAATACAGCTGATTTATAGAATTTCCTCATTAATTATGCAAATTAGATCCTGATTTGCATAATTATATTTTGATTATGTCAAGCATCACTTAAGCTACCTACATACCAAAAATCATGATGATCCATCAAACGGTTGTTCAGTTATCCTCTCTCGAAGATTTTCAAAGAAACCACCCTGCAGTTCCAGAACAAGCCGCTAGGGGGACCAAACTCACGTGACTTCTTCCCGAGGACAAGAGCTACCTTCCATCCAAATTTCATGACCCTAGCATGTCCAGATCGCGAGATATCAAAACCGGAAGTTGCGCTGCAGTACCAAGGGAAGCCACTAGGGGGCCCAAAATCTAATCATTTCCAGTTTTTGTCACACCCTACCAACACACCAAGTATGAAACCAATCCATCCAGGCGTTCTTGAGTTATCTTGTTGACCAACAGACGGACAGACGGACAGACGGACGGACAGACGGACAGATAAACGCAACTGAAAATATAACCTCCATGACACATTTCATGGAGGTAATAAGGCTATCTGTATGATATTGACACATACTGCTTCACATTAGCACATTTGAGTCTCAGTATTTCATACTTTTAAAACTGCAGAAACAAGCCCCAAGATAGTCCTTTATTTTCTGGGTGGCACCCTAAAAATCAGCCAAAGACCCTTCCAGTAACCATTTTCCGTCAGAATTTTGGGGATTTTTGCTCCATGCGGGTCAATATTAATATATACATACATTGCCGGATGGTGTGGTTTCAACTCAGTATGTCTAGATAAGTGACTAGAATATTGACTTTGAAAAATCTGGATTCCATGCCCTAAAAAGTGTACTGAAGAATGGCATCCAATGGACATTCTGTTATAGCGACCGTTGTTTTAACTTCGTCAGCGAACCATCAACTGAAGTTGACCCACCCAATTGGTACATGTATAAACAGCTGGAGCTTTTCCGTGTTCGGTCCGTGAACAAATTATTGCATTCTAGTTAGCACTGCGTACAAGGCGGGTAATTATACACACACAAACTCGGTGGCAAAGATGAGACCCAGGCCTGGCGAACAGAGTTTTGGACTGGGTCCAAATCAAGAAATTGAATTACTATGGTAAGGCCACACCAATTTAATTTGTTGGTTCTCAGATTTTCCAGAAAAAATATGAAGCGACCGGGTGAAAAAAAAAAACAAAAACAGGTCTATATGGCAAATTTACATTTTATATCATGCAATGTTCCAAATCTGTAACAGAACATTTGAGGCAACAATGACTTGGCAAAGAAATAAAATTCTGAGTTTTTATCTATACTACTTAGAGGGTACTTTATTATTAAACACATATGGTTCTTCAGATGTGAGAGAGAGGTTTCGATTTCTTACATTCAGCTCATAGTTTTCTGGAAATGACCCGAAAAGTCCAAGCGACTTTGAACTAGATATTGAAGGAATCACTTTATCTGGATGAAAGAGCTTGTCCAATAGAGTTAACAGGGTGTGAACAGGGATATCACTTTGAACTTCAGATTGGCTTCATGTTCATTTCATTTAAAACAAGCAGCACTTTAATTATGGAAAAACACTTTAATTATGGACTCCTCGCTAATAACTCTAAATTGCTTTACCCAATTAGGTTTATATTTTTTCTGAGTACATAGTAGAAGGTGACAAATATGTGGAATGTGTTAATTAGTCCCTAGGGTATAGTCCAATTATACATAATTATACATGATTATACTATATTTATCTATAATCATGTATGATTATACATATTAGTTTTTCCATTATACATAATTATGTATATCCCTTTGATCATTATACATAATTATGTATATCCCTCTTGTATCATTATACATAATTATGTATATCC